ATATTAAATATATTTATTTAATTGCAAGTTAATATGTAAAATTTTGTGTAATTATATTTTAGTTCAAATGTATCAAGTTGGTATATCATGCTTAATAAGATGACCAATATATCATTATAATTCAATAATAAATAAAGAGTGTAGTAATCTAGTGAAGTGAATAGATTGTCAACCTTCAAGTGGCAGATTTATAGTTCAAATTTTAGTGACAATAAAAATTTCTAATTTTTTTTGTATTATGGTTAACTGTCTTTTATAATTAGTTAAGATTAGATACTTGTAACTTATGTTATATTAGTATGACTAGAAGATCTAAGTATTCATACAACATTGTATAAAGGAACACAAACTGATACCAGGTGGTATGAACTCAAGATAAGTTCTTAGATCATATAAATTACAGAAACCAGATAGAAAGATATAAATTTACTTGAAAGATCTAAGTAGAGAGATAATCTGAACTTTCAACAATATTATTGTAAAGACTAGACCTATGAAATAGAGCTAGAACTTGTAAAATTAAACAAATGTGCTGGTCTTTGAAGAGGAATTAGATGAACTAACCAGGCTGCCAGAATTTTTAGATTTTAGAAAAAAAGAGTACATGTTAGCAAACATGTAAACTAGAAGTATAATTATGGTTTACCTTTTTAGGCTATTTGAAATAGCAACTTGGTGAAACTTGAATTAAATACCAAAGTAGTAGGGATATGTTGTGAAGTTAGTACTAGGGTTGGAGTAAACTCTACAAGAGCATAGTGATTTAATTGTATGTCCTAACTACCAGTGTTGATCTTAGTCATAATAATACCAGATTAGCTATAAGAATAGAATACAAATGATTCTAGAAGGTTTAGTACAAGGTCAAAGATTCTAAAAAACTGCTTTAAAAACTTAGTGGTTATGATATATTTTTACTAGCATCAGCCAGGATTATTGGTAAACAGAGATAGATAGATGAATATAGAAACTAGAATGGTTAAATATGAAACCTACAAGCAGGCTTTAGGTATAACAGCTAGTGTAAAACTTTCAAGTAAACTACTTAAATTCAACAATAACTAAAGTAGTATGAGTAACTAGTTGTACACTCTTTCTATGATTGTTCTTTGTAGTTGTAATACAACTATTAGCCAAATATACTATCAAAAATTCTGAGTTGCAAGTACTTATCTTAATATTTAAAAAAAAAAATAAAAATAAAGGTTTAGCTAAAAATCTTTTTTATTTATTTAAAACAGTAATCAAATCTCACTAATAGAAAATTTTAAACTAATATTATTATTTTCTTAAATTTGAAAAGAAAATTTATAATATTATATTTGTTGATAATATGAAAGACAAAATAACAAAAATAATGATTTATAATGTAATGAAACTTTTTCAATCTAATATTATTCTAGATAATTTATATAAAAAGACTCTTAGATCTAAAAAATTTCTTATATTATATACTAAAAAGGCTAACTTTTTAAAATTAGCCAATTATATTCAAATTAAATATTTTTATATAAACTTCTTATATATAAAATATAAGCAAAATTTATTGATAAAAAATAATATTACATAGTAATATATAAGTCAGAATTTAATTAAATAAAATTTTGTTTATATTTTAGATTAGTTTACAAATATGTTTTAATCTTATATATAAATAGATTATGATTATAGTTAGAGTTATATACCAAAAAGACTGATATTTAAGACTGGCTAATTATATTCAAGCTAAATATTTTATATAAACTTTTTATATATGATATATAAGCAAATTTTATTAGTCAAAAATAATATTATATAACAAAATATATGTTAGAATTTAATTAGATAAAAATTTGCTTATATTTTAGGATTAGTCTACAAAGTATTTTAATTTTATATGTAAATGAATTATATACCAAAAGGGCTGACTTTTTAAAACTGTCTAATCATATTCAAGCTAGATATTTCTATATAAACTTCTTATATATAATATACAATAAATATATATTATATCTATAGTGTTTAATACCAGTATAAAGATCACTTAATTATGATTAGTTAGTTTGTAAATCATTTTTAAATTAGCAAGCTAGTAGGTTTTTTATTTTAATAATAACTTATAATATTAATAAAATTTTTTTAAAAAATAGTGCAATTATATATAAAAGTTTATATCGAACATTTTTTTTAGAAGCTAAAATATAATTATTTTAGTAAAATTCTGCAATATTTGTAATTTTTTGTTTTTTTCTTATTTCATTTCTAATCTATTTTTTATGTATATGTTCCAAAAAAAATTAATCTCTTTATTTTTGAAAAATATATCAAAATTCAATTTATAAAAAGTAATGACCAAGGATTGATTATTTTCTTTTTTTTCATCTTCTAATAATTTAAATTTAGTATCAATAAAATAGTTTTATAATTGTTTCTGTTCTAATTCTTTAATGAATGATAAATTGAAGAATGTCTCTCTAATGCTTTATTGGGCTTCAAGAATTACTAATAATTCAAAACAAACTGAAGACTGTAAAATATCTTTAATAAGAGATACATTCTGTTTTTTAATATTAACTCAGATTTACAATTTGGTTTCCTCAATGTTATGTCTTAATTTCACTACTTCAGCTTTAAATTTAACATTCTTAACTTTACACTTAAAATTCTCAGCCTCAAGATCGGATTTTTTATTTATAATTTGCCTAAGCTTCGAATTTTCAACCTCAAGCTCAATAATATGGTTTTTCAACAAATCAAATTCTGAATGCATGTTTGATAATATTTTTATAAGATATATATTGTTCAAAACTTATTTAATAAAATCACTTTATCAAAAAATATTTTTGTTTCAAAGAAGCACACTTTTGCCAAGAAAATTCTCGATCATATGTGAGTTATACATCAATAGCAATACAATAAAATAAATTTACAAAATATATACACACAGAAGTAAACATGATTCTGTATTTGAAATCGACCACCAGAGCCATCTTTATTAATAATTGACTATACAGCAATAATAATGACATGCTAAAAAATAACATAATAACCTATAGCATTTGTTTAGTTCAATTTATACTCCTTATCAAGCCAAAATACAGTAAATGTTATCACATATTCATTAAATTTTATAATCAATAATCTTACTACTCCTCCATCTTGTATACCTTTGAAGTCAGACATTTAACTATCTTCATGGTTTCTTGACCTTCTCTTATCACGGGATCAACCCAAGCAGACAATAAATGTTTAAGGCTATTTGTGAGATCGCTAACTTTAGCTGATAATGAGGCTGTAGACACTGGTGTAGACTGCACCAGGCAATTGTAAATGTTTGAAGATAGTCCAAATAATCCAAGTGAGGTCTGAAAATGCTCTCGAAATGCTTTGATTTTGGTACTTAAAGCACTTAAAACTTTCTTATTTTTAAGTCTAATCTTCTTAACGAATTTTTTTCCTGTTTCTTTAGTATCTATTTTATAATCTTCTAATACTTCTGCAATTTTACATTTGCACGAAGTCATATTAGGTGTTTCAGTAAACTTTGACAGAACATTAGCTAACTCTGATTTTGCACCTAATTGCAAATACAATAACAAAATGGCATATATGGTAGATCCTCAATGCCTATATAAGCTGGTAACAGACAAGTAGTTGCAGTCAAGTAGTTGCAGTCAAGTAGTTGCAGACAAGTAGTTGCAGACTTTAAATATCCATAACCTTTGTTATTAGTAGTGTGGTTTTTAATTTGTATTAATATGTATGAAATTCGATTATCATTAAACTTTTCATCAAGAGTGCCTATATATAAAGGTATTATAATATCTACTCTCTGCTGATTTCATTTACATGAATATGCAATACTATGAATCAAAGCATCACCAAGATCTTTTCTCTTCAGAGTATATGTAATATTGATAAAGTGTGTAAACTTAATATAAGCTTTGCTAAATTTTTTCTTGTAAACTTTACTGTCTCTTCAAGGTGATTCTTTATTTTCTTATAAACATTATCCACAAGTAATAATTTTAAAAATTCTTCAAGAGTTATGAATTGAAATAAGTTTCACTAATATTCGTGTCATCTAGAATCTTTTTTTTAATGCAACAATCCTAGGCGTTGAAAAGTAACAACCTGGCTATAAGCTCTTCATAGTAACCATCCTCTACTATGCCTTTTTTTAAGGCTTTAGATAGCTTATTAATAAGTTCTGTGAGCCTGATATGTGGATCATTCATTATTTGAGCACTAGCTTCTACTAGTACAGATTTACTAGGCATCGCTATAACAATGTATTTACAATTCTCTAAGACTTTAATACAAAGGCATATATTGTTTGCTATTAAATTAGATGCATATTCAGATTGTGGCATTATTTCGACACATAAATGGGGTCCTAAAATATCCAAAATATCCAACATTTTAATTTGGTTTTTCCTCTAAACATTGAAAAATTTTCCACCAAGAAGCTTGTCTATAGCCAATTTGATAATACATTCTGATTCCATCCCTTTAGTATCACTAGAAGGCATTAATAATGCACTCCACAAAGGTTTTCTATACTGAAAGAAATGTTGTGGGTCTTCTGACTCCTTTAATGTCATTGCTTCCTTAAAATTAACAAAATTGACTTTCTTGTCCACAGTGTCTAGCAAATAAAACAGTGCAAATAATTTGGAACCATGCTGCACAATTCTTTTAGATGGATCGAGGTAAGAGCAGGTGAACAGTTCAAAATATTTGAATGTATGTCTGTAAAGACTGCAAAAATTCCTGCTCTTTCAGGTAAGAGAATTAAAGCATGTTAAATATAATAGAACAGTGAATTTTTTCTAATGTTCTTACTTTCAACCTTCTTACCAACCAGTGTATGAGCTTTATTAAATGCAAACAGGTATTTAACTAAACCTTTTTATTCTATATGATTTTTTTTAACTAAATATTTCTTGACCAATTCAGTCATCTTGCTATCCCTAGAACATTTCATAAGTGGAACTTGATATCTCCTATTCTGTTCTCAACATTACTCCAAAATTTCTCTTGTGAATTTTTATTGGTATGCCAATCTATCCATTCCTTAAAATCTCTATCAAATTCCTGCATCTTTTGAAAACATGCACATATGTATGCAAGATAGGTAGCTATGGCTTCTTGTTCATTCATAAAATCTCTTATTAGTATATTGGCAATATCTAATCTGGATGGATAACCACTTGATTTGAAATCCCGCAGACAACAATATACAGTTATTATCTTTTTTGCAACATTTATCAATAATTTGAACTTTTCTGTGCCACTGGCTTGAACTAAGGTTGTGTATAACGCATAATAACCTTTTATCATTTTGTAATTATCTAGACACTTGTTGATAAATTGTATGAACCTTTCCAAAAGGTTACTTGGATCTTGAAAAGTTCTATTAAAAGCTTTCTATACAATTTTTTCATCTTCTTCACTTCTAGTATGATAAGTACGATATGATGGATCTTCTACAGAATGTACAAGAAATAATTAAATTTCGCCAAAAATCACTAATAAAATAATACTATTTATAATCAGCTTATTTGATAGTTCATTCGCTTTTCCTAAGTAGTAACAAGCATCAAGATAAGATTGCATTAATTCAGATTATTTTCATTCTGCTAGAAACTGAATAACATATCTTTTTTTTTATCAAATATCTTGACTAGATTATCAATCGAACATTTTTGTTGTTTAAGAAAGTCGATAATTTGCATTTTTGACCAACCAATATTCATTTCTTTATCCCTAATAATAAACACATAATTTACTAATGGGCCTTCAATATTGAAGCATTTTTTTAAATATTTATGCAGTTGAGTAAAATCTTCTCAGATGCCAGAACTAACGCAATGAACTTTTGATGCGAGATACTAAAAGTATAAGGGGGCTAAAAGCAAAATTATAAGTTTTGTAAATGATATCACAATATAATAAAATGAGGAAACTAAAATATTCATAATACTTACCAGTATCTGTATAATAAATATGAGGCACAAGTTAATAAATGAAATTATTGCAGAAAAAGCAATATAGGTTTGAAATATTTGAATGTAGTCATGGTGCTTACCTTGTTCTTCACCTTTAATATCTAATTAATCCAACGATAGCTCTAGCTGGTCCATCAAGAAGATTGTATAAAGAAGCTTGAAGGTCTTCTTTAGACAATTTAAGGAAAACATGGCCAGGAACTCAGTTATCTCTAATCAGTATAATGGTTTATCTTTGAGAAATAACTTTTCTTTCTGAGACTCCAGAAAAAAAAAAACTTTATCTGGGCCCTAGACATTTTTAATATCATTAAATACAGTCAGGGATTTTACCAAATAAGGAAATCACATTCTAGAATAATCTACAAGAGCATTCTTGGATGTGATTGGCTCTTATATGGTTTTCTTCCACAAATGTTGTAAATTTTGAAAAATTTTTTTTCAATAGTTAATAAAACCGAAAAGGCTTTGAATACATAGTTTGAGACATCTAGTTTTAATCATTTCAAAAAATCCCTTACAGTAACTTTTCTTGGTTAAAATAAATGAGATGTTAAAGTTAGGTATTTACTTCATATAGGAAGTTAAAAATCGTCATCAGTTAAGACGATCTTAAAAGTTTATCTTTATATTTAAATGAAGATTTAAAGTGCTATTTATATTTAACCTTCATAGTTTAATTTAGTTGCAACTTTATAGGACCAATATAACTCACGAAAGAAAATACTCAAGCCATTCAAGAAAGATTTAAATTACAAAACAATATATCTGATACGGGTTATGTTTTTAAACAATACTGTGTATACGGATGATATTGTTTAATAGTATAAATCGAACATTATAATATGTAATTAGTAAAGGAGATATTAATTAATTAGAATAAATAGTTATTTAAAATATTTAGTAATAAGAGGTGAAGCTTCGTTAATAGCTTCGTTGATAATAAAACATATTCACTCGTATATAAGTTTTTAATTAATTTGATTAGTTGATGTTCATGTGCTACGAAATTTAGAACCTTCTGATTAACATCCTTATACTATAAAAAGTGCAATCTTCAATATCCATTTTTGGTAAAATCTCTGACTGAAATAATGAAAAAGTAATATTACTCAACATAGTTTATTTTCATGTTGCTGAAAATTTTTTTTTAGCAGGAAATAGTCATATATTTGCTATATAACAGATCACATATGCATAATTTCTATATCTATATAATACAAACTTATACAGGGGGATCTCCAAAATTCTGGGTCAGAATATATCAGATTTAGCCTAGCATTTAGTTAGCATTTAGCAATACAAGTTAACTATTTTTGGCCAAAATTATCAGCTGGGCAGCTTTACTTAATGAGTAAGCTATGATTTCATTAGTAAAACTTTTAATAATCTTGGGCAAAATTAGTTGATTCTGGCCCTGCCAATCATAATTCTGATGTATTTTGACCCAGACTTATAGGGATCCTCCAGCAAGACCGAAGTTCAATTTATGCACTAACATTACACAAGATTTTATATATTGAAATCATATGCAATAGAAGTATGTTATATGACAGAAATGAAAAAAAATATCAATCTTGTTTAAAATTTTACATAGTTGTTTTTTAGCTATAAAGAAAGTAAATGGTAAAAATCCATCTTACCGATCTCTCAATCTACAAAACCTTTATATATGGCATAAGTTTTTATAATAGAAATACTATACTAATGAATTTACTTTCTTTTTTTTTTTTTTATAGTTTAACTAAAGAATGACAAGTGAAATCAAGGATATCACTTATTGCATTAGAGAATTTTACTTAAAGCCACAAAATATGAGAACAATCAAGAAGATTCCTTCTAATAAATTAGAAAACAACCTAACATTCTTAACTAACAACCCTTATAACCTCAACTATACTTCTTTTATCGATAAATTCCCTATTGAAATTCCTATTCGACACTCTATTTGAACCATAACTCCTCATATACACCTTTACTTATTTTCACCTATCTGATCTAGTTTCCATTGACCTTATTTCTACTATTCACAATTCTTCTATTTTCTATCATACTGCTACTACTCTTTCTATCAAACTTCTTCT